AAGCCGCGTTCCGCTTGGCCTGCCGGTACTCATCAGCTGCTTCCGGAGTCCCACAGGCCAAAAAAGCCCGATAGGACTCCTTCTTCAGCTTGACGGCATCCCTCACCGCCGGTGTCCACCAGCGGGTTCGGGGATTGCCGCCGCGACAAGCACCGACCACCTTATGACCACAGCTCCGGTCAGCCGCCTCAACAATGGAGGCGCGGAACATTCCCCATTCGGACTCGATGTCCCCCAGGCCTGGCCACCAGGCGCTCACCATCGAGCCCCACCCCCAGGTTCTGGCTCCAGGGGGGGGCCCCGGTGACCCACGTCCGGGCAAGGGAAATCGTGGATCCATGTTATAACTCATCATAAGGGGTCTTGTGAGCCGCACTTCGTCTGGTTCCTCACCCAGGACCTGTGTGCCTTGGGTGACCCTACCAAGGGCATAAAGCCCCGGGCAACTTAGCTCCTGGGATCATTGGAACACGCAAACCCCTCCACCACGATAAGGTATCGGCTCCAGGAGAGGCACTACCCTGCAATTGGTACAATTACCTTGAGGAGTTTCATAGGAATTGGGTCTACAAGACTAGTAGAAGATTTGCAGGAGATGAGTCTCGATTCAAGCCTGAAATGGTTTCTACAAGCCAACTGTTATCTTCTCTTCAGGTTCATACTCACTGTGAATGAGCCCACAGCCTCTCTCAGCTCCTGCAGCTCCTTCTCTCTCATCTGAATTCTCTGCTGAAATTCCTTCTGTGTTTCACCCATTTGTTTCTGCTTATGGAAAAAAAATGGTAAAACAAGTTTTTTTCATTATCTGAGATCATATTCATTAATCCTCCTGTGCAGGATTGACACCAGCCTTGGGCTCTATGCTGCCTGGGAAAGGCTCCAGGCACTCCCTGTGACCCTGACCCAGATAAGCGGGTAGGAAATGGATGGATGGATGGATGGATATACTTAAATGATTTATTGACTGTAGGTAGGATAAACTTGAAGAAGTCCATCTGACTTCTAATTCCCAGTGAAGGAAGTGAAAAGAGTTCTCACGGTAAACCTGAAGTTCACGTTCTGTAGATAAAACATGTGCTTAGCTGCCACTTTATTAGGAACAACCTGTCATGCCCCGATCGTCCGCTCCTCTCATGTGCCACGCCCCCTCGTTAACCTCATGTGGAATCCCAGTGTTTTACAGCTGTTTCTGATTATTGTCATTAGTCCATTGTATTTAGTCCACGTTTCCGTTTGTTTCCCCAGTCCGGTCATTGATGTTGTTTCGTTGCGTGCTGCCATTAAACCCCGTGTTCCTGATCCCTGGATTCCTGCCTGTTTGTCTGCGTTCCGGGCGCGTACGATCCATAACACAACCAGTAAGTACCGGGTAGGACCCACTTTGCCTCCAGAACCACTTAATGTGCAGATTAGATCTGTGTTCAAACAAGCCATTTTGCACACCACTGCTGTACTGAGCTGTTATTTTTGCACATGTGACCTTCCTGTTAACTTTAACAAGTCTGGTCATTGTCCCCTGGCCTTTCTTATTAACAAGGTGGTTTTGCCCACAGAACTGCCACAGTCTGGGTGTTTTATGTTTACTGCACAGTGCTCAGTGAACTCTACACTCTGTAGTGTGTTTCTGAGATGCTGGAACCACCATGCTTAGGACCAACAATCACACCATATTCAAAACCTCTGAGCTCACACATCTTAGCCATTCAAATTCATTTTTGAAGGAGTTTCCAATAGGAATTCGATCAGAACTTTTAACAATCTATATTAACATCTTGATACAGGTTTGACCCACTAAGGACACAGCTACTGATAAAGGTGAAGGTGCTAAAATTTCATTCAATTGAGCATTTTCCTTCCATGCAACTAACCAGGTTTAATCATAGTTTCTCTTCAATGCAAACTTATTTACATGTGACAAAAGCCATTTTTACTTTATAAAAATTCATAATTTCTGGCCTGACCTGTATCTCCGCCCTTCCTGCAGCAGCTGAGACTGTATCATGGCCTCTGTGTTCATCCATCAAACAGAGATAACAGACACACTGCTGGTCGGTACGGCAGTAGATCTCCAGGGGTTTGTCATGGTGGGAACAGACCTTGTCCTGCAGATGGCTGATGGCATCAATGAGCTTGTGTTGTTTTTCGTGATGGAGTTTATTGTGAAGCTGCAGGTCAGTTTCACAGTAGGAGGCCAGACACACCAGGCAGGACTTGACAGCTTTGTGTTTTGTCCCAGTACAGATGTCACATTCTACCTCTTCAGCATACTGGTCAGCAGGAGTAGCTGCTTGTAGTCCAGTCTTCTTCAGTTTCTCCACCATTTCAGCCAGTATTGTGTTTCTGCCCAGAACAGGTCTGGGTGTGAAGGTCTGTCTGCACTGGGGGCAGCTGTAAACTCCAGCATGATCCTCCTGATCCCAGCAGCTCTTAATGCAGCTCATACAGTAACTGTGTCCACAGGGAATAGTCACTGGATCCTTTAGTAGATCCAGACAGATTGCACAGCTGAACTCATTTACATCCACTGCAACTCTGGCTTCTGCCATTTTACCATGAGCACTGATAGGATTCCGTTTCGTTTTCTGTCACAGTTGTCTGTGTATGAGAGTGGGAGGAACTTTCTGCTTCTCCTGCTGCAGTAGGTGTGGTTTTGGACTGAGGCCAGACTGAGAAGAGCAGACTGGGCAAACAGTGGAGCTGGAGTTTATGAATAAAATAGTTCATTACACAACTATACACACAGCAAATTTTTATTTAGCTTTTAATGAGGGTAACAGTTACTTGCATTGTTTTTTGCCCAAACCAGCTCTATTTCTATTCCTATTCTTACATAAATAAATTTGATATCATAAATAAATTTGCGGGAGGCTTGTTGCCGCAGTTGTCACCGGCACGGTCCCGCCTACACCAATCACCATCCCCGGGATTCTAACCCGCTGCAGTTCATCTCACATGATTGACACTTAGTGTTTATACAGCCCAGTTACTCCACCAGCCCACTGTGAAGTACTGAGTATCTGCAATATACTCAGCGTTTCTTGTCATATTCATTGTTGTGCTGTATTTGACCCGTGTTTTCTGTTCCTTGGACCTACGACTCTCGCCTGTTTGTTTCTCAGCATTTGGTTGCGTCGCTGTTTGCTTTCCTGTTAAGGAGCTTATGCCTGTACCTGTGTTTTGTCCTCCTGTTTTATCTTGTTTCAGTTTCTTCTATCCCCACTTACGAATTCATGCGTTTTTCAGCACGATCTGTGTGTTTTTTATTACAACAGCTATCTCTGCACTTGGATTTGCTCTGTATAATCATTACAGTGTCATTTTATTTTAATGTCTTGTGATGTCTTGGTCCAAGGTCCACAGTCCGCTGATCCAGAGGGAGATACAGTCAACACGTGTTGGGTATAAACCTCCACCAATGTTTGATAACCACTTTATACAGTTCAGCCTATCCCAGGAAGCACAGGGAACAGGTTTATATAAATTTATATAATGGAAACATGAAAAATGTTCAGATTAGGAAAAACAACATTTGCTGCTATATTTTATTAATTCATTTGCTTTCCAAATTCTTAGTTGGTAAAGTACATAAATGATTCAACATTACCTCCAACATTATCCTTATTTAAGCAATCTTTGTTAATTATTCACAGAGATATCTTATATGACAAAAGCATGATAACTGATGGACTTATAACGATTTAGTTTAAAGTATAAATGACTGCATAAAAATTATTCTTGGCAAAAATGATCATTTTCATCTGACGGAATCATTTTGGACAATTTGTTAACTAAACCCGTTACTAATATATAAATGAATACACACAGACACACATACAGGTGAGAGCAAGCTTCAAGGTCACTGCACAGAAATTTCACATAAAAAAATTAGAAAGGTATTGATTTTTATTTTGTTGTTATTTCCACATATGCTCAATATGCACAAGTTATAAGAAATTTGTAAATTGT